GAATATAAGAATCATTGTGTGTTTGTTACCTTAGAAACGTTTTTATCTACAGAGTCCTCTTCTAGTGGCGGAGTCCGCCATGTTTCTACATGACTTTGACTTCCTGTTTTTGAGGGTAATTAAACCGTGAGTTATTATTGAGATATATATTAAATATTGATATCGGACATGCACTGTGTCACACTGGTTTATTCTGTCACTTATACTGTTAGGATTAAGCTCTCAACATTATCAGTACTCATTATTATTTATTCATTACACTTCTGTCTGTCTTATACTGCAGCATACATACTGTATATTTCTATCTTCTATATATTGTCTTTTTTTTCTATTTTCTATTTATATTGTTTTGTTTTATTATATTGTAACAAAAATGCACATCTTTAACGTTCTTCTTATTATTATTTCTATTCCATTAATGTCTTGTGACTGAACTGAAACAAACTTCCTCCGGGGATCAATAAAGTATCTGTGATTCTCTGTTCACGTACAGGTTCCATCTGTCTGCTCTTCGTATTGATGTCTGCTCTGATGAAGACTTCCTCTCTCTCGCTGTTTGTTGACCGAACAATCAGACTTCATTAAGTCTCTTCTCTCTGATACCAACACTGAACACGCCTCCATTTAAAGTCCGATGTCCAACAGTAATTAGTTATTGGTTAACATGGCTTCAGACACAGATAGAGTTGGGTTAAAATGACTTCATCTAGCGTTAACATAATTGTATACACAATCGGCTCCGACTCTGTGCAGTGAGCGTGAAACTACATTTAAATTAAATGTTTTAATTCTGGCTCTCCCACAGAAACAGGAAACATACCAAGTTATAACCGACCAGGGCCTCGTTTTACCAAAGCATCTTCAGGTAATATGACCATAAAAGAAACCATCTTAGTCTTTTTAGGATTAAGAGTCTTTTTGTGTTTCCCAGAAGCATCATAACGAGCAGCTCCACAACCTGCAGCAGTTTTTATTGTGTTTGTTCATTTTTCAGCCTTTGACTTTAATGGCGATTTATGTAAAATGTTAAAAGCTGAAATGATGAAATTCTGAAATAAAACAGACACACACACTCATCACCCTCCTCTTCCTCTTCATCTCCTCTGGCTCAGACTGATTGTGTGTTTTCCACAGTGAGCAGGTCTGATGCAGGATGAGACCCACAATAAATGCTGCACATATTCATGGAAGTTAAACAAAGCTTTAAAGTGACTTTCAGAGTAACGTCTGCATCCAGCAGTTAAATCAAGGTTTACTTCCACCCAGAAACATGAATATTTGATTGGTTAGTTTCACTTTATTACTAGAATATTTTTCTGAACTGTGTATTATGTCAGGAAACGTACAGGGTTTTATCTACACAACATTTAAAATTCTGAACATACACAACACAAAATCTTGTATCCCTGCACTAACCCCGTCCTCCAAAAATACAAGTTGAACGGCACCTCGTTCCTCACAGGGTTCACTCTCTATGGCGTGAGCCTCCCCAAGACCCCGGTACCTCTCACCGCGTCCTGTCTTCTCACAGGTGCTCTCCAGAGAGCCCCAGGCAGCTTCGACCCTGTCTAATTGACCCTTCCTTAGTCCCGCCCGTTTTTGCTCTGTGCTCCAATAACAGTTGAGCCTAGGTACTTAGGTATGCTATATGCTAGGCTAATACATATTGAAAAGAGAACCACATTTTAAAGATGTTTTGAGCTCCCCTCTGTCTCGCTCTCTCAACCGCATATTCCAACTTAATGTTTTCCAACTATATGAAGTTTTATAACTAGGTTCGGGAACAAAGACCACGCCCTGCAATAATCTCATTTCCGCTCAAAACTTACTTAAGCACACCTTATCCGTTTACTCCCTCCTTGACTCATTTTTC